TATGAGTGTGTGTGTATATATATATATATATATATATATATATAAATATATATATGAATGAATATGAAAAACCCACAGCAAACATCTTACTCAATTTTGAAAGACCGAAGGCTTTCCCTCTAAGATCAGGAACAAGGAAAGGACACCCACTTTTGCCACTTCTTGGCCCCATAGTATTGGAAGCTCTAGGAGAGCCGATAGACAAGGAAAGAAATAAAAGGCATCTAGACTGAAAAGATGTAAAATCTTCTCTGTTTACCGATGTTATGCTATTAAATGTAGAAAAGCCTACAGATTCCACAAAACACCTGTTAGAATTAATAAATGAATTCAGCAAATAGCAGGAAACAAAGTCAATGCACAAAACTCATTTTTTTACACTAATAGTGAACAGCCCAACAAGAAAATTAGGAAAATAATTCCATTCACAATAGTATCAAAAAAAAATAATGTACTTAGGAATTTACTTAAATAGGGAGGTAAGAAACCTGAACAGTGTAAACTACACTGTTTGTAGTGTAAACTACAAAATGTTGTTGAGAGAAATTAAAGAAGACATAAATAAATGGAATGACAGCCATGTTCATGGATTGGAAGACTTAATATTAAGATTTTAATACTACCCAAAGTAACCAACAGTTTAAATGCAATCATTATCAAATTCTCAGGGGTTTTTTCAGAAATATAAAAATCCATCCTAAAATTCATATGGAATCTTAAGGAGCCCTGAATAGCCAAAACAATCCTTAAAAACAACATAGGTGGAGGGCTCACACTTCCTGATTTCAAAACTTAGTACAAAGCTACAGTAATCAAAAGAGGGCGGTACTGGCATAAAGGCATGTAGGCCAATGGAATAGAATACAGAGTCCAGAAATAGACCCTCACTCAATAAGTCAAAACATTTTTGACAAGGGCACCCAGTCCACCTAATGGAGAAAAGACAGTCTTTTCAACAAATGATTCTGGGTAAACTGGATATCCACAGGGAAAAGAATGAAGTTAACCCATAATTAACATCACAAGCAAGAATTAACTCAAAATGGATCTACAAGCTAAATCCAAGACCTAAAGCTATAAAACTCTTAGAAGAAAACAGGACAAAACCTTCACAGCTTTGACTTTGGCAGTAATTTCCCACATATGACACCAAAGACACAGGCAACATAAGAAACATGCACAAATTAGACTTTAAAAATTTTAAATATTTTTGCATCAGAAGACAATATAAACAGAGATAAAAGGTAACCTACAGAAATGGGGAAAACATTTGGAAATCATGTATCTGATAAAGGATTACTATATAGAATGTATAGAGAACTCCCAAAAATGAATAACAAAAAACCTCCTAACAACGCAATCCAAAAATGGGTAAAGGACTTGAGTAGACATTTTTCCAAAGAAGATATACAAATGGACAGTAAGCACATGAAAAGAGGCTCAACATCACGAGTCATCAGAGAAATGCAAATCAAAATTATGAGATCCCGCCTTACATCCATTAGAATAACTACTATATGTAAAAAGAAACGAAGGGAAAATAACGAGTGTTGGTGAGAATGCGGAGAAATTGGAACCCTAGTGCACTGGCGCCGTGAACATGATATGGCACAGCTACTGTGGAACTCAGCATGATGATTCCCCCCAAAACTAAAACTAGAATTACCATATGATCTAGTAATTCTACTGGATATATGTTCAAAAGAATGAAGAGCAGGGTTCTTGTAGGGATGGGTATTAATGGGTTTATAGCAGCATTATTCACAATAGCTAAAGTGTGAAAGCAACCCGGTGTCCCCTGAGGTATGAATGGGTGGATAAGCTAAATTTACATATGCACGATGGAATATTATTCACCCTTTAAAAGGAAACACAAAAGGATGAGCTATGGGGACATTATGGTAAGTGAAATAAGCCAGGCACAAAAAACAAATTCTGTATGTATTTAGAAACAGAAAGTAGGATGGTGTTTCCCAGGGGCTGGAGGGAGAAGAGAATGGGAAGGTGTTATTTAATGTGTGTAGAGTTTCAGTCTTTCCAAGATGAAAGAGTCCTGGATATGGATGGTAGTGATGGCTGTACAACATTATGAATGTTCTTACCACCACCAAACTGTGCACTTAAAAAGTGTTAGGATAGTAAATTTCATATTATTTTTATTCTACCTCAGTAAAAAAAATCTAGGGGAAAAAAAAGAAATGAACCATCAACCTGTGAAAAGACATGGAAAAACTTTAAATGCACAATGCTCATTACTAAGTGAAAGAACCAGTCTGAAAGTATTCATACTGTTTGATTCTAAGTATATAACATTCTGGAAAAGCCAAAGCTACAGAGACAGTAAAAAGATCAGTGATTGCCAGGAGTTAGCAGGGAAGAAGGGAGGAGTAGATGGAGCACAGAGGATTTGGGGGTGGGGAGCAGGGCAACTATTCTGTAGGAAATCTAATGGCCCATATATGTCACTATACCTGTATCAAAACCCATAGAACATACCTCGAGAGTAAGCCCTAATGGAAACTATGGACTTTGGGTAGCATTGATGTGTCAATATAGGTTTTGACATTGCAAGGCGTTCATTGTGGGAGAAGCTGTGGATGTGTGAGGATGCAAGTCATGTGGGAACCTTTGTTTCTTTGTTCTAAGAAACAAAGTCTATTAAGTTCACATAGGACAATTAAGGTTACCTGCTTTCTCCTGAGTTTTGGTTATTTGTCTTTAAAGAATGAGTCCATTTCATCTGAATTTTCTAATTTTGGAGAATAGAATTGTTTGCTGTAGTCCTTTTAATGCTTTAATATCTGTGGGGTCTCTAGTAATTCCTCCTATTTATCCCTGATTTTGGTGATTCGTGTCTTCTTTATCTTTTCCTTAGTCAGTGTAGTTAGAGTTTTTCAGTTTATTTACCATTTCGAAAAATAAGCTTTCATTTCACTGATTATCATTATTTTTTTTTACTGTTTTCACTTTCATTGATTTATGCTTTAATTTTTATCATCTCATACTTTAGGCTTGCTTGAGGTTTAACTCTTATATTTTATGATAAAAAAAATTTAACTTCTTTGTTTCTTTACAACTCATTTCCTATAAGTGCATATCCTATAGGCAGCAGAGTGGAGTTTGTCTTTTTATCCAACCTTACAGTCTCTTTTCTCTTCCTCCTCTCTCTTCTTTGGGGACTCCAATTACACATAATGTATTAGGTCACTTGAAGTCATCCTCCAGGTCACTAATGCTTCGTCCATTTCTTTTCCTCTCTGTGTTTTATTTACTTGCTATTGTTTTGCCTTTCAGTTCACTTTTCTTCTATAGAATTTATTCTGCTGTTAACCTTATTTAATGTAATATTCACTCAGACCACCCAGTAGTTTTCCTCTCTAGGTCTTCTGTGTCCTTTTAAATCTTCCTCAATTTTCCTTACGATGTTTGCTTAGCCTTTTCTCTAGAACATATGGAACATAATCATAAGTCTTACTAATTTTATCATCTGTGACATTTCTGATTTGCTTTTGATGGGTTGAGTTTATTCCTATTATGGGCTATGTTGTTCTACCTCTTTGTATGCCTGAAAATTTTGAAAGAATGTCTAAAATTGTGAATTTTACCTTATTAAGCGTTGGCCAATTAGTATTCAAATGAATATTCCTGACCTTTGATCTAGATGTAGTTAAGTTCCTTGGAAATGGCTCCCTCTTTAAAGTTTGCATATCAGCGTTGTCAGGTAGGACTGAACCAGCGGTTACGCTGGGGCTAATTTTACCCACAATGGAGGCAATGTCCTCTGAGTGGTCTACCTGAGGTCCTGAGAATTAAGATCACACTTCAACTGCCAGGCGGGAATAGGCGCTACTTTAGGCATGTTTGATTTCTGGGATTACGCCATCTAACTTTGTTGCTTTCCCCAGGCACAGTCTCACATGGGTTTGCTGCCTGACACTTGAGGGGGACCCTTTAAGGACCAAGCGTTTCTCAGGACAGTGCTCCCCTCTTCTGGCTGCAAACACTGTCTGCCTGGGGCTCCCCCAGCTCCCAAGGTTGTCCCTGGCTCAGGGGGACATGGAGCTCTACTTGGGCTCTCCGTTTTTGCACTAGGGCTGGGAAATGCTCGTGAGGTGGTGGGTGGGACCAGTTGTGAGGCCCACTTTGTTTCCCTCTCTCAGGGGTTCCTGCTCTGTGATCCCCAAATCTAATATCTGAATACCACTGCTTCGCAGTTCTGCTAATTTTTTGGTTCAGCCCTGGTGGGAAGGTCATCCAGTCCCTCTGACTCCTTTGGGGCTGGGGCAGCTCCTCCCGCCCTCGCTCCACCAGGTCTCTGCTAACGGTGTGGACAGTCTGTGCGGCAGGGACTCCTTCCCCCGCAGGTGTTTCCTGAGGGGCAAATCCGGGGGCATGAATTTGTCCAGATGGGACAGTGGGTGGACATGGCCCATAGGGCCTGAGAGCTCCCTAGACCATGAATTTTCTGCAGGTGACCACCCTCAAGAAAGCCCCAAGCACTGACCTTCCAGGCCCGGGAGAGAGTCCCACCTGATGCCCCACCAGGAGGCGTTGGCCACTGCCCTTTGGGATTTCTCAGTCACTCACTCTTAGAAATACACGTGGCTGGAGGAGACCAACGTCCGGTGAAAATCATGTGCCCCCAGCGCCCACCTCACAAAGTCAGATGAAGGAAGCATCAGATGATGGAGTAAGTTTATTGGGGTGCCTCCCAAGGAGGTGTCAACAGGCTAAGAGTTGAGGTCAAGTGACTCAAAAGAGAAACTAGGAGGGAAGAACAAGTGACCAAGAGGTATGTGAAGGCAAAAGCTGGTGGAAGCAGCGAGGTCCGCAGTTACTGGGAGCAGTAGAGGTCAGGCCAGGATAGTGGAGACCTGGGAGGTCCCCACTGGGTGGGGACAGCTACTTAACACAACTCAGGAACAGACAGAGGGGTGGTTGGGAGGACCACAGTCATGGGGTGGAATCTGAGCCAGGCTGGCCCTTTGGGACATGTTTGGTCAGCAGCAGGACTTCTGGGCTGAGGCAGGGACACAGCAGGCAGGGCGGGAGCACGCGGGGCGGCAGATGAGGGACACACAGGAGGCTGGGCGGCAGCAGCTGGGCTGGCAGCAGGAGGGGCCACAGCAGGAGGAGACGGGCACGCAGCAGGCGGGTCTGCACACGGGGCGGCAGATGAGGGACACGCAGGAGGTGGGCTGGCAGCACGAGGAGGCGGCCCCAGAGCAGACGGGCACACAGCACGCGGGCGTGCAGCAGATGGGCGTGCAGCAGACGGGTGTGCAGCAGGCCTGCTGGCAGGGGGAGGAGGTGCAGCAGGAGGGCAGGCAGGAGCTGGCGCAGGCTGACTGGCAGGGGCTGGGCCCACAGGTCACCTGGCAGCAGGGGCTGGACACGCAGCTCACTGGGGTGCAGACCAAGGTCTGGCAGGAGGCTGGTGCGCAGCAGCTGGGGACACAGCAGGTGGACGGGCAGCAGCTGGGGGCACAGCAGGAGGGTTGGCAGCAGCTGGGGGCGCAGCAGGAGGGCTGGCAGCAGCTGGGGACACAGCAGGTGGAGGGGCAGCAGCTGGGGGCGCAGCAGGAGGGCTCACAGCAGCTCTCTGGACAGTCGTCCACCTGCCAGGGGGCGTCGGTGCAAGAGTCACTGGAACCGGGCAGGCAGACGCGGCTGCCGTAGCTCATGCCGCTGGAGCGGACGGACAGGGTGGAGGCGGCCATGGCGGGCAGCGGGGCTGGAGGAGGGTGTGAGGGTGTGAGTGTGTGTGTGAGGTGCCTGGGCTGTCTGTCGCCTTTTATACCCTTCCTGGCTCGTGTTGTCCCACTGAGCGGCTCCCCACGCCTTCCCTTCCTTGTTAGTGCTGGAGCCTCTTGCAGGAGAGGCCTCATTAGTGCTGGTTTATTTCCTGCAATTAGTTTTACTCAGTGCACTTGTGAGTATGTTGCAGGATGTTTCCCATCTCTCCTTGTCTGGCTCTACGAAACTGGAAAATACTTCAGGCAAGATCATGCCAAGTTGAACTTCAGATTTTAACACATTTCCACAGTCATGAATCCTGGTTTCTTTCTCCTGTGTTTGGGGTGCTTTTGATGTTTGTGTTACTTTGAAGCATTTTTAAATTTAGTCTAAAATGGCATTTGTACATCTTATGGAACACAACCAGTGCAAACAGGTTCTAAGTCATGTTAATGCAGCCTCAGGACTTGAAATCCACACACAGCCCCCAGCCTCCCTCCCACCTGCCCCCTTAAACACAACGGAGAAAGATGCCCAGGGCCACACACCCTGCACACAAAGCGCCTGAGAGGAACGTTAATGGATAGTCGATAAATGTGGACTCTATTATGAAACCCACCAAAGAGCACACGCTACATGTCTGGGTACATGAGGGGCCATGACGATGTCATGGGGGCAATCAGAGCACATGGTCTGCACTCTCTGCAGTCATTTGATTCCCACAAGTGTTACACCCAAACCCACGTGGCCTTCAGCACATTCTGTCCCCTCCTCGATCTACGGTGAGCACACCGCCTGCCTGGGCAGAATTTGCCTCATTTGAGAGGGATGTCTGAAGAGTTAGTTCAGAGACAGAGGAAAGACAGAAGAGAAGGAATATTCTCACGGAATACAATATATGGTCCCAGTGAACCTGAAACAGAAAGCCATCATGGGCAGATCCTGGTGAAAACCTCCATATCTTAGAAAGATCCTTGTAACGCCCTTGATGATGCTGTCGGCGATGTTAGATAACATTTTCAGAGCACGTGTTCTATGTCTGGTGGTGTTCTGAGCGCGTCACATCTGTTTGCTCAATTTTTACATCAACTCACTGTAAACAGATGAGAAGCCTGGGCATAGAGAGGTTCAGCAACCTGTTTAAGGTCATACAGCCCAAGGTGGCAGGACTGGGACTGGAAGCCAGGCCCTCTCTTTCCAAAAAGGAGGCAGCAAGTGTCCAAGGAAAGTTAACACCCAGTCGCTGGATTAAAAATTCATAGAGGCAGGAAGGAGCAAAATTACCACCACAGAGAAGCCATTCAGTGGTTTTAAGGACACACAGAGCTGGTTCCTTCAAAACACAGAGGTAATAAAGCAGGAAACCCGCAAATGCAATGAGAGGAAATGCAGTGAACAGTGTGTTTAGCTGGGACCCACGCAATAACAGTTGCTAGGAAGGGCGAATGGGCGATGAGGACCAAAGCAGCCACCAAAGAAATAAAGGAGGGTGAACCGCTTTGAGCTGGATGGACCAAGGGGGTGCTTTTGGACTGGAAGGATGTCACGAATTTCAAGAAAATCGTGTCTTTAGAGCCTCCCCTAGACATAGAATGCAAGTTTTTAAATAAATAGCAATAGACACAGTCCCTGCTCTAGGCAGGAGGGAATGGCATGCCACCTGCAGAAGGCCCGATGCCACTGTGGTCCCGATGCCTCTCCCGCCTGCCAGTGAGGGTGCAGCACTTCCAGGGGAACGTTGGGTGTCACAGTGGATTTTTCCCCCGCTCATTACGTCTTTCCAAGTAAAGACCACATCAACGTGTTTTCACGTAAGCAAGAGCTTCCAAAGTGCTGTATTTATTTTCCCCTCTCAAAAAAAGAGAGAGAAATATAACAAACGACCCCATGCTGTCACAAACAGGAAAATTCAAGAACATGGAGGTTGGGCTGGCTTGGGAGCAAAGAAAGGGGAACATGGAGGTAATTCTAAGTAACCAGTGCCATCGGTCCTAATACAAATGCAAATCTCCCATTTATTACAACAAAATATGTGGTGTGATGGATCCTTCTGCGATTGGTCCCCCTGGTGGGATCCTCGGGGGTGGGGGGGCGGGGGGGTGTGACGCGTCCTTCTGTGATTGGTCCCCCTGGTGGGACCCTCGGGGGCGCAGCCCATCGTGGTCATGCTGATGCGATTCCTATGCTTTGTTCTGTGCTGTCTAATGCGAGAGACAGTACCACACTTTGAAATGATAATATTTTGGATGTGTTGGGTTAAATAAAATGTGTTATTAAAATAATTTTATCCATTTCTTTTCCATTGTTACTGTGGCTATTATAACAGTTACAATTGCACGTGTGTGGCTTGCACCGGGTTCCCGCTGGAGCGTGCTGCTTTAGATTAAACTCAAAAGATTGATAAGCGCAGGCCAGGGGCAGGATATCAATTCTGTCCGAAACAGAAATTTTGCACATTGCCTGGTTTCATTCTTGACTTTAATAATTAAAGCATGAATATAAAGGAAAACAAATATTTATTAGTATAATTAAAAACCAAATATATATCTTTTGAAACAGTAGAAAAGATAGAAGAAAAATCCACAGTAGGTATTTTAAAGACAAAAAAGCAACAGAAACAAGAAGAAAATGTATAAAGTACAGAACTTAGTTAACATGTCAGGACCCAGCATTTAGTTGTCAGATATAAAGAAAATTTTATCTGATATTTCTTATTAAATGAAACAAAGTCTCTCAAAGTGGTTCATAAAACAAAAACCAAAAAGATGGTAGCTACTTTTACAATGAAACCAACCAACAAACAGTTGTGAAAACTGAGAGACACACATGGGTAAGCATCTACTTAAACCCCCGCTCAGAACCTCCTCTCCCTTCTTCCCATCGCGGTGAAGGACAGGATGTGGACATGAGGGCCACCCCGCCCCCAAGCCTGTGGACAGTAGGAGAGCAGAGCAGAGAGGAGGCTGGCCCATGACCCTGCACTTGGGAAGCCGATTTCATTCCCGGCATCCCAGACAGTGGGAGGTGTGGCCACCTGACGAGGCAGTGCTTGCTGTGGGCAGAGGAGGCTCCGCAGGAAGGCAGGAGCCACCTGCAGGGACTACAGGTGTGGCAATGCCTCCTCCCCGTTCCCACGTGGTGCACTGGCACGGCCCGCAGTCACGGGCACCTGGGCAGGGTGGGCCTCCACCCGCGTGGTCAGGTGAGCTTGGTGCAGGGCAGGCTCACTGGGCACAGGGGGCGGGGGCAGCACCGCTGCCTTAAAGTGCCCTTGTCAAGAAGCATGTGATCTCCCTTCTCGGGTTTGCGGTATTCAAACAGGGACTTTCCAACTCTCTTTGGGTTTGCACAGACCTCCCAAGAAAAGTGTGAAGAATAAATAGACGTATTAAAGATACACAGCTGAAAGAAAAGGACCCCTTAAGAATTAAGGGGTCACTGCAAACAACAGGGGAATACTGCGGAGAATTCTAATTATACTTAATGAGAATCAAGACATCAGTTCAGAAGGGTTCTGCTTCTGGGAACCTGTGGGCAACTTATTTGATTGATCTTCCTGCCAAAAATAATGGGAACCGCCAGGGGAAAGCTGAGAACAGGATCACGAGTCTCAGGCCAGGATGGCCCTCGGGGTCTGTGCCGCAGACCCCAGGCCAAGTGTGAGAAGCTTTTGGCTGTTTTGAAATGAATAAAGTAAAGGCCTAATAGATTACAAAGGAAACCAATGATATGAAAGCAGTTCCTAAAACATGAAAAAACAAATGAGTGATCTGGTACGTGCTTTTCTAATAAACACATACGTAGTACACGGAAGGGCTGGGCCGACGGCTGCCCTCGAGCCGCCATGAGGTTTGAGGCCTGTGGCAGCCCTTGTGTCACCTGCATACCTGACTTCTGTTGGTGACAGGCTCAGGCACCGTTGATACCGCCAGGGTGTGCTGACTACGTCTGTAATTGACTGGTGTGCTAAATTTCAGTCTGAGGTTAATGAAAATAAAGATGTCACTCTTCTCCTTCATCACGGTTCTCAGACTGCAGGGTAGGACCCCTGCTCTAACCCACAGCACTGAACAGGGCCCAGGAGTCCCTTCGTTCTGTAGGGCTCATGCTAATCTGCAAACTTGAACTAGGGATTTCACGGTTTTGTGGGATGTGGGCGACAGACACCCCAGCCAGCTGCCGCCCCTCATGCTGGGGTCCGATAGGAGACAAGTCCTCCGATAGGCTGCGGGCTGTACCTTTGGGGAAGGTGAGCCAGGAAGAGGTGCTCAGCCTCCCTGCGAACAGCCTAGCAGACCAGGGCGGGAACACCCTGTCCACGCAAGCCTGCCCCCTCCCTGCTTTGCAGCCCAAGTCATATCTGTCGTAGGAACGGGGTTGCGGGGAGACCAAACAGAAGCCTTGGACACAGTGACAATGCTCCTGGACTCTGAGTTCCCCAAACTGCACAAGAGTGAACATTGTCTCTGTGGGAAGATGCCTTTATCAAGGGCCTGCAAACACCTCTCCAAGGACAAGGGCATTGCCAAGCCAAAGTAACCAAGCACACCAGCAAAGAAGCCACCATGAGCAAGAATGGGCGGACGTGACAGAAAACCCATTGGACCCACAGTGACTTCAAATAGTGCAGTTCATTCACCTGAGTTCACATATACCTTTATCAAAGCACAGCTTGTAATAAAGGGTTAACAAAGGAAAAAAAATAGTGTTGTTCCATTCACAGACCATAAAACCTATATAGAAAATTTAGAAGATAAAACGCTGGCTTCAAAATGTCTTCAGGAATAAGAAACTCAAAAAAATTTGGGAGTGGGCAGCCAGGAGAGGAGAGGAGGGTGGGCCGGAGGGCGGGACACCTGCTGGGGCTCGCTGCCAAACAAAGGGTCTGTCACGAGGGCCGAGGTGGCTCCCTAGAAGGCTCAGCCTGGGTGAGCACAGAGCAGGAACTGGCTGGAGCGAGCAGAGGCAGAACTGGGAGGGAGCGAGGGCACCTGGGGGACCCTGTAGGGAAGCAGAGGGTTGGAGACGGAGAGCAGAGTCAGGCCGGGCAGCGGAGGGGAGGGGCAGGAGCCAGGCAGAGGCTGGGCCGGTGGTGTGGCCATTCTCAGAGGCGAGCCGACACAGGGGCAGGGGAGGAAGGAGGGACACTCCCTGCACCGTGTCCGGAGGTGCTGCGTTCGATCCACAGGGATCTCAGGCAAGCAGTCAGCCCACCATCCTGCCTGTGGGAACAGCGCTGGGGCCTAGGAAGCACCGTCCGTGGAACACTTGCTTCCTTCTGACTTGGGGTCTGTACGTCATGACCTCACCAAACATTTTAACCAGACTCCCCTCAAATGGAGCCAGAGAGCATTTGAGGCCCCCCAGCCAAGGCCCTTCCTCAGGGGGGGCCACCATGGCCCAGGCCAGGCCTGTGACCTCTAGGTGATGTGCCTGCCCAGCTCCGTCCCTGCAGGGCCGGTGTGAATGGTCTTCTCTGTATTTCCCAAGAGAGTGACCTGCCTTGACACTTAAGTTCCTGAGGGGAGCACCCAGTGAGCCACTTCCAATATCCCGCTCCTCTTGGCTAGTGGTCCCTGTGATGTGTCTACCTGGCCAGGCCATGGTGTCCAGCAGGTGTGTGGTCAGGCGCGTCTGGATGTTGCTGAGAAGGTGTTTCTTAGATGAGATGAACGTTAAATCAGTGGACTTGGAGTAAAGCAGATTGCCCTCCAGAGTGTGAGTGGGCCTCACACAACCAGCTGAAGGCCTTAAGAGAAGCGACAGAGGTCCCAGAGCAGGAAGGAATCTCCTTCCAGGTCAACTCCAGACTCAGGCTGCAACAGCAACTCTCCCCTGGGTCTCTGGCCCGCCCTCCGATTTTGGGCTTCCCAGGCCCCACAGTCATGTAAGCCAATTGCTCAAAATAAATTTCTCTGCACACACACACATACACACACACAGAGGCACACACATGTCCTATTGACTATTCCCTAAGAATCCTAACACAAGCTCCATTGTCACCACCCGTGGCTTTACCTCCTTAGTGTCTTCACACAGATGGAAGCGCCGCCCAGTGCCTGGGGTCACTGGAGCGTGCCTGGAGCCAGCCCACCTAAAGCTGAGCCTGGATAGGCTTCATGCCTTCAAAGCAGATAACGTATTAAATGGGACCTTTTTCATCCCTAGCAAAGCCCCAAAGCCCTGATGTGCAAAGTCCAGAGCCGGAAAGGGTGGCTTCTCTGTCCCTCACTGGTGGAGGTGGCTGGGAGGGACTTGGGGGTCTCCTAGGTGAGCAGATTCCCTGCAGTGGATGCTACAGGGGACTAGTCCCACAGGAAACCTAGGCAGAGGGTGGGAGGGCCTGGCCAGCCCTGCCCGTTGATGCTGTCACCCTGGACACAGCTCAAGACCAGCTCTCAAAGTGGCTCAGCCCACATGCCACACCAAGCTTTTTAAGCTCTTCGCCATGGTCTCACAGATACGCACTCAGACCTCAAAGAGGGACTCAGGATGACTTTATTGTTAAAAGGCAGGTCACTCACATAAGACAGGACAAAGTAACTGACATCAACCAGGCCACAGAGGAGGGCACTGGGTAAGGTGCAGGGCCTGGAGGAAACTCGGAGGGCAGTGAGGGCTGAGCCCAGTCTGACAGGTGGGCGCGTCAGGAGCAGAAGGAGGCCTCAGGTTGGTCTCGAGGCTTCAAAGACTTCAGGTAGAAGTTAGAGTTGGCCCTAGGAGCAGCAGGCCTTCGGGGCCAAGGCGGGGACTCAGCGGGCCGGGCGGGAGCACGCACGGCGGCAGAGCAGGGACACGCAGGAGGCTGGGCGGCAGCAGCTGGGCTGGCAGCAGGAGGGGCCACAGCAGGAGGAGACAGGCACACAGCAGGCGGGTCTACACACGGGGCGGCAGATGAGGGACACGCAGGAGGAGGGCCTGCAGCAGGCCGAGGGGCAGGGGGTGGGCAGGCAGCACGAGGAGGCAGCCCCAGAGCAGACGGGCACACAGCACGCGGGCCTGCAGCAGACGGGCGTGCAGCAGACGGGCGTGCAGCAGACGGGCACACAGCAGGCCTGCTGGCAGGGGGAGGAGGTGCAGCAGGAGGGCTGGCAGCAGGAGGGCAGGCAGGAGCTGGCGCAGGCTGACTGGCAGGCAACTTGGCAGCAGGGGCTGGACACACAGCTCACTGGGGTGCAGATGAGGGTCAGGCAGGGGGCTGGGGTGCAGCAGCTGGGGGCGCAGCAGCTGGACTGGCAGCAGCTGGGGGCGCAGCAGGTGGTTGGGCAGCAGGTAGGGGCACAACAGGAGGGCTCACAGCAGCTCTCTGGACAGTCGTCCACCTGCCAGGAGGGGTCAGTGCAAGAGTCACTAGAACCGGGCAGGCAGACGCGGCTGCCGTAGCTCAGGTTGCTGGAGCAGACGGACAGGGTGGAGGCGGCCATGGTGGGGTGGTAGATTTTGAAGAGGGCGTGTGTGTGTGAGTGTGAGTGTGCGCATGATGCCTGGACTGCCACCTTTTATACCCTCCTGGGTGTGTGTGTGTTGCCCCAGCATCAGGCTTGGTGAAGCCCTCCCTTCCTTGTTAGTGTTGAGTGTTGTGTTGTGACTCAGCATTGCAGGTTCACTGTGAGTGCCACTGCCTGGGAGGCTCCTGAGTAGCATTGGGACTATCCTGACCAGTGTCTGTCCCCAGAGGAAAGGCAGTGGAAGTGCTGTTGGTGCTTCGGCAGGAACAGTAGCAATCATGCAGTTCTGAAAGTGACATCCCTCTTCTCCATCCTGTGGGAGGTTTGCTCTTATCAACATAACTTCTCCCACAGAGGGAAGGTGATGGGATAATCCCAGAATCTTTGAAAAAAGGGAAATGTGGTCAGCTGTGGATGGTCTGGTGATGCTCAGCCAGCCTGGACACAGAGGGGTGCACTTTGTGGCCTGATGAATCCACTTGTAGTGGGAGTTGGGGGGACATGTGTCTACCGGGAGTGAGCCCTCCCAGTAGGCGGGCAGATATGAAGAAAAATTTTCCTCTGGGGGCACAGACTAGCTCACAGAGAGGAACAGGGATGCTAGCCCAGGCTAACACAGTAAGAATGACCATGAGGGGCAAGTGTCTTGGTTTATTGCACCTTGAACTTTCATAGAACCCTCCCCAATAAAGTATGTAATGCTCACTTCTTCCTCCTCTCCTCAGAGCTCAGGTGATAGCACCTGCTCAGGGTCCTCGGAGACTCCTGCAGCCCCTGTGTGAAAATCAGAGCAAGGTCTCCTCCCTCAAGAACCGCCCTCCACAGGCAGAAGGTCATAAGGATGTGGTGACCTGGGAGCCATCCTTCTGTTGTCAGCTCCTGGACATAGTCATAAAGAATGTACAGTGTCAGGGCCTGGTTGTTCATGGAGTCTTGTCCCATAGAGCCCTGCACAGCCTGTAGCAGCCCAAACCTCAGTTCTACCCCTGTGACCTATTGAGCAATGTCTGGTCATGGCTCCTCACGCCCTCATTCTGTGGTCACTGTACTCTGCCAAGTCTCAGAAAGGACAAAGGACTGGGGTCTTAGGTATGCTCTGGGTTGCAGGGCTGTACAAAATTATCCCAGAGCTCCCTCGAGGGCTTGCTGGGGAACCAGTGAGCTTCAGGGTTTGAAGCCTCACTGATCTCTGATGCGTGGGGCTAGGGCTCTGCTAAAGGACTTCATGAAAATCAGGCCACAATGGAGAAATATCATTATCTCAAAGAAAAAATGGCTGAAAACTTTACAAATTTATTGAAAAACTTTATGCACCTAGGAAACTCAATAAACTCCAAATATGATACACACAAAAAGTCTACAAACGTCATAGTAAAAATTCTGAAAGTCAGAGTGAAGACAAAAGTCTTGAAAGCAGCAAGAAAGAAACAACAAGTCATTCACAAGGGAGTCCAGCAAGACTAACAACTGACTTCCCATCAGAAACAATGAAGATCAGAGGCAATGGGATGATATATTTCAAGTGTTCAAAAGAATTGTCAACCAAAAATTCTATATCCAACAAAGCTATTTTCCAAAAAAGAAGGCAAAGCATATTCCCCCAAAAATAAAAACTGGGAGTATTTAGTGTTAGCAGACTTACACTACTTGAGATGTACTACAGGGAGTTTTTCAGGATGAAAGCAAGTGACCCCAGACAGAAATTCTAATCCACAGGAAAAAGCAAAGAGCACCAATAAAGGTAATTACATAGTTACAAAAGACAGTACAAATGCATACTTTATCTTTTCTTCTATTAACTGACTTTAAAGTAATTATATAAAACAATATCTATGTAAAATACTGTTGGGCCTATAGTATATAACAGTGTAACGTATTTGAAATATCAGCACAAAGGAGGTACATGGGAGAAAAGCTGTACTGGGCAAAGGAATTTACTCCAGATTGTAACTGAAATCTACAGAAAAAAGTGAGGAGAATCATAAATGATAAAAAGAAGTTTAGGGTAACAAAAGCTATAAATATGTACTGTTTTTCTTTATTCTCAAGCTTCTTAAAAGTCATGAGTATATTAAGTAATAATTATAAAAATATACTTTTGGGTTTAACATTTATAGATGCAATATGTAAAACAGCAAGCCCACAAAAAGGACAGGAATGAACACAGTTATATATAAAAATGAAAAACAGTTTTATATGGAGTTGAGTTAGTATTAATCAGAAGTTCATTCTGGTAAGTTACAGTAAGTATACAGTCAGCCCTAGAGCAACCACTAAGGAAAAACTATAAACTACAGTAAAAAATCATTAAAGAAATCAAAATGCCACATTAGAAAGTATTCACTACATGCAAAGAAAGCAGTAAGAGGATGAGAGGACCATACCAAAATAGACACAGGACACAGAGGAAATAACAAGTAACAGAGCAGGTAGAAATGTAGCCACCACTGATTCTTCTTGTTAGTGGTAATTGTGTTCTGTAAGGTCACTGCACACACTGTATTAGCAAACACTGAACCATTGACCCTGGAAAAATGCAGGGTTTGTGCCTGTAAGTCTCTGGTCTTGTTTCTATCAGCTGCTCAATACATAACCTTGCTTGAAGTGTGTCTAGGGACAATGCACTGTGTTTCCCTTTATTCTCACACATAATGCTTCTGACACCGGATGTGTGGGGCTTTTCCCACACTGACCAATTCACTGACACAAGCTGGTGTCCTGCAATTCAATTTAATTCAATTCCAAAACCACCCAGAGTTAGCACAGACCCCACAAGTGAAGGGCTCAGTCCCACAAGATGGCCCCTCACTTCAGATGTCAATTGAAAATAGTGGGTGTTGGAGTCACCCACAAATCTGTCTGATGTGGTTACCAATCAGAGGTTTCCACAACCCCCTCCTTGGTTCATTAATTTGCTAGCATGGCTCACAGAACCCAGGGAATAGTTTACTCACTATTGCTGATTTATTACAAAGGATATTTTAAAGGACACAGATAAACAGCCAGATGAAGAAATACAAAGAGCAAGGTCTGGAAGAATCCTGAGCACAGGAGCTTCTGTCTCCATGGAGTTGGGGTGCACAGCCTCCCATGTATAGGTGTGTTCACGAACCTGGAAGCTCTCCAAACCCCAAACTGTTGGGATTTTATGGAGGCTTTACCATGTAGGCTTGATCAATTAATAACTCAATTTCCAGCCCTTTTCCCCTCTGTGGAGAAAGGGGTGGGGCTGAGAGTTCCAAGGTTCTCATAATGGCATGGCCTATCTCGTGACCAGCACTCCCATCCAGGAGCCACCCAGAGTCCCTTCATTAGCATAAAAGACACTCCTGTCACTCATGAAATCCCAGTGAATTTAAGAGCTCCGTGTCAGGAACCAGAGTCAAAGAACAAACATTAGAACAAAAGATGCCTTTAGTGTGCTTACCACTTAGGGAATTACAAGGTTTTCAGAGCTCTGTTCCAGGAATCAGGGTCAAAGACAAATATTAGCAAGAACTGGGGGCAGAGGCATATACATAATCTCACAGCATGTGTTTAATACTTATTGTTGATTCATTAACACTGAACTCACTTCCTACAGCAAAGTAACATGCCTGAGTGAAGCTTATCTAACACGTGTTCTCTCTGTGAGGCACATCACAGCCTCCTTGCATTTAGCAGTCCATTTGAAACAGCAAAATCGCCAAGAAAAGCACAGAAATGTGAAAAATGTGGCACTAAATATATAGATAAAGGACTGTTGTCTGTAGTCCGAGCTGCAACAAGAAGGCACATCGGATCATCAAATGTTCTGCGGTTCCATGCATGCCTGTGAATGGCTATGAAAGCGTCATAAGTATTGATTTTCAGGTTACAAATCAATTTTAACAAGTAGCTGAATTTGCAAATACAAAATACCTAAATAATGAAGGTTGATGATATGTCAATAATAATTTAAGTGTGAATAAATCCAATCATAAGGCAGAGATTGTTAGACTGGAAAAAATGAGATTCAACCTTATGCTCTCTGCAGGAGACACAGTTTAGATTCAAATATACAAATAGGTTGAAAGTTAAAGGATAGAAAGGGATGGATTATGCAAACAATTATCACAAGAAAGCTGGAGCTATGATACCAATAGCATATAGAATAGACTTTAAAACAAAAATTGTTCCCAGAGGTAAGGAAGGACACTTTATAATGATAAAAGGTCAATCCATCAAGAATATACAAGTATAAACATATATATGTAAATACTAACAAAGCACCAAAATACATGAAGCTGAAACTGATAGAAAAAAAGAAAAATAATCCAACCATATTAGTTGAAGACTTCAATATCCAAATTTCAATAATGGACATAACAAATAGACCAAAGACCAACAAGGAGACAGAGGATGTGAACAATGTTATAAACCAATAGGACCTGACAGATATCCACCCAACAACTGCCTCAGAAATGCACACAAGACATTCTTAGGACAGAAATATGCCAGGACATACAGCAAACCCCTATAAGTTAAAAAGAATAAAAATAACACAATGTATGTTCCCCGAACACAATGGAATGAAATTAGAAATTAATAACAGGAAAAAAATTGAGAAACTCACAAATATGTAGAAATTAAACAGCACACTCCTAAATAACCAAAGTGTCAGAGAAGAAACTCAAGGGGAAATTATAAAATACTTTGAGATGAATGAAAATGCAGACCAAAAGAGCAGAACATACGAGATGTGGCTAAAGCACTCCTTAGACATTTATAGCTGTAAGTACCTATAGGTCTCAACTCAATAACTGAAGCTTCCACTTTAAGACAAGGAAAAAGATGGGCAAACTAAGCCTGAAGCAAGCAGAGTAAAGGAAATCGTAAAGATTAGAGCAGAAAGAAATGAAATAGAGAATACAAAAACAACAGAGAAAGATCAATGAAACCAAAAGCTGGTTCTTTGAAAAAAATCAACAAAACTGACAACCTTTTAGGTACCTTGA